TCCTCACTGGTTTACCATCTCTCCTCTGCTCCTTCTTTGCCCCTCTCTGTTTCCTGTTCTCCTGCTTCTTCATCTCTGTTGGTCTCCTCCTACTTCCAGATGCCACCTTGATGAGATGGGGAGCGTGTCTAGACTTTCACATGAATTCAGGTCATTGTTACCATGACATATTGTCCCTTCAAATCCATTTCTTTGAACTTTTGGAAGTCCATGGAATTTTGAATTTTTTAGGATGGTTCTTAGATGTATCTTGATACATACAGTTAACTCTGTAGTTTTCTCTTTTATGAGCCACCAGCGGGACACTTAGTCTTACTCCGTCTGTTTCCACATACTTGCCTCCTTTTCTGGGCCCATTCTATACAAGTATGTCTAATAGCTTGTTCTATTCCAGGTGCTCTGAGTCTTGTTGTGGATTATCTCCCATACCCAGCCAAGATACTACCTATGGATTGGTCCCTCTATCCTCTGATGTTGAAGTGGCTGTGCTCTCACCTGGACACTCTTCTTCTCAATGTTTTTGCCACTCTTCCCAACTCCTTTCTAATCCTCTGTTCCTCTTCCCTTTGCTTTAGCTGTCAGGACTGGTGTTCTCTGTCCCATCCGTATGGTTCATTGTTCTTTGGCCTGCTCTGCCCCTTTTCATGGTTTATGCTTTCATCTATTTATTCTTTGGAATTCTTCATCTCACCAAAGTATTTCTCCTATTACTCTTAAGGGATGGCTACAGCACCTCATCCAATTAGCCTATACTTCATTGAATGTAGATTCACATTGCTCCTTTCAACTCTCTTTTCATCAAATCCAACATCTTACTTTCTCTGGCTCTTCGCTTCCAACATCTGTTGGAGGAGTTCATGCAAAGTAGCATATAGACTACCCCACATGATCATCATACATTTTCTTTATTTCTGGATGTTTCTTCTTCTTCTGGATATCGACTTCCTCCTGTTGCCATTCTACATACCCCTTACCAGTTTTGAATAGGTAAGTTCTCTTTTTATATATCTTACAGTGACATATTTCTTCATCTCTGGATCTTGGTCAGTGGCAATTGGTGCCTTTCTGGGTATAGTTGACTTTAAATCTACACAATATGACCCTTAAAAGGTCCTGATGAGATGGAATGTTCTACAAGACTGCTCGATGGTTCCTCTTAGTATATTTCTTGATGAATAGGGTCTATTGCAGACCATACTAACTCATGGAATCTCAAGAGTAAAACACTGTCAAGATTGCTTCCCATTCCTCTGGTCCTAGTTGAATAAACTTTTCAAAATAGGGTTTTTGTGGTCACTCATTGCACATTCTTAAGGTGTTGAATTTCCCTGTACTCCTCACTGTATTGTTTTCCCCTTCTTCTTGTGGAGTGTGGGAGTTCTTGCCACTTACCAATTCTTAGCTGCTGGAGTGGTGGAACATGGAAAATTCCTCCTCAGTGTGAACACTTCCATTCAATCAAGAGTAGGATGGTGGTGTTCTGTTGGTGTAGATGGTGAGTACTCTTCTCCCATCACAGACCGGAAAATAAATACCTAATGCTGCCTGTATTTGGACTGGACAAATCCACCACATGGAGTTCACCCTTCTGGCTGGCTTTCCCCCATCCTCCCACTGCCTTGAAGTCAGTTCCCAAGTGGTATGATCTTGGATAGGTGTAGAACCAGCCAACATAACTCCTCATGATTGTGGTTGGTAGGAACCCTCCTTGTACCTCCTTTCCCAATGCTGCCTGGTTTTGAACTGAAGTTGAACCACCATGTTTGCATTCCCCCTTCTTGTGTTAGTTGGATACTGGGTCTACACACATGTGCCATTCTTTGGTTGTCAGAATGGAAGTTGAATTTTCCTCTACACACATGTGCCCTTCTTTGTTTGTCGGAATGGAAGTTGCATTTTCCTCCTTCTTCCTGGTCTTGAGGTGAAGATGGTTGGGACCTTTCTTCTATTCTGGACTGGAAGACACATACCTGATGCTGCCTTGTTTTGGACTGGAGTTGACCCACCAAATACAGTCTGATACATCCTAGCCACTCTACTCCATCTGTTGCATCTATTTACTGACTGGACTTGCATCTTTTCTGCCCGGATTAGTGAAATATATCTTTACATACAATGGGCAAAGATTATACCTTGGTACAGATGTGGTGTGGTTTCTTTTCAGATGCCTTCTGAAGATTACTCATCTAGGTACCTTTTTCACCAGTCCCTCCATATTTCAGTGTGGGATTGTAGCTATTATGTGAAAAAAGGGTAAGGTATCCTATTGGAATTTAACAATTTTCAACACTGAAAATGTATTTCTGATAGATACTTATCCTCCTCTCACTCTTTCCACTCATCCTCCCTGCTTCTGATGCATCTGTTGTTTTTGCCTAATTTTGAAGTGATGATTGTGCGCTTTACAGTATAGAGGGAGTCAGCTGCTTTAGGAGAGCGTGTCACACTCCCATTGGTGGAGGGTTGTTGCATGCTCATATACATATTACAATTCAGCTATATCGCGTGAAACATGTGATGTTAGGTGGAAGCTTCAAGGCTAGTGGCAAGCGAAAATCACGCATATAGAGGGCAGCACAAATTGAGGAATGCTATT